GCCAGCTCATGGGCAATCTTGGCGTGAACTATGACTGTTGGATAAAAAAAGAGTGACGATACATTTGTGATGATGTGAAGAACCAAAGTAGCGCATTGTGCCAAGGATATTACGAAGTAGGTAGTGCCGCTGCGTTTTAAGGAAGGAGCCTTGTGTGTGCACTTGCGTCGCGGCCATCGCAAGATCGAGAGGCCGATGTTGCGGGTCAACGTTCCAGCGTGAAAGCCTGCATCAATGTTCGAACGTTATAACCAGAAATTCAACTTTTATTCATGACGGCGTGCGTCTAGACCAGGCTAGGCGTAACTAAGCTGCCGTACTATCAGGATAGATCGTACACTAAGTAATGACTTATACGCCAACCCATGCAATGCAGGTCCTCACCTCAACACCTCCTAGGAACCTTGCCGTTCCTCGATTGACGTGCCAGGCTCTTGATCGCATGATAGATAACAACACGTAAACTCCAAACCCGAAAATTGCAAGCTCGAGTCAGCTGTGTTCTGACAAGGCTGTTGATACAAAAGAAATGAGACATGACAACAGACGCGATGCGACGCGCTTATTTGATCTCGAGCAGCTTGACGTCAAAGGTCAGTGTGCTGTTGGCAGGGATGCCGGGCAGAGCCTGGCGGCCGTAAGCCATGCTGGCGGGGATAGTCAAGCGACGCTCGCCACCAATGGACATGCCGACAACACCAACGTCCCAGCCCTTGATGACCTGGCCCTTGCCAACCTTGAAAGTGAAGGGCTTGCCCTTCTTGTTGGCATCAAACTGCTTGCCGTTCTGGAGCTTGCCGATGTAGCGGACACCGACGCTGTCGCCGTTCTTCACAACGCGGCCGGTACCGATCTTGCGGTCGTCAACCGTGACACCCTGAACGTCCTTGACGCCAACGGCGGTCTTGGCGGAGCCGCTGGGGCCTTGCTCGAGGTTCTTGGCGAACTGAACCTTCTTGGCGTCCTTCTTGTCGTCAGCAGGGACAGCCTCGCCCTGGTTGTTCTTAAGCTTCTTCTGCTGCTTCTTGGAGAGCTTCGCGCCGTCCTTGGCAATCAGTTCGTCGAGGTTCTCGGCCTCGGCAGCACGCTTGTTCTTGCCCTTCTTGGCGGTGTCGACCAGCTGGGGAGCCTCGTCCTCAGAGGCGACTTCGGTGACACGGGGGTCTGCGACATCATCCAGGTCATCACTCGCGTCATCCTCGTCGTCTTCACCCAGAGCGTACTCGAGCTCATCGGGGGAGAGATCGTACTCGTCCTCATCATCATCATCCTCGTCGTAGTCGTCGTCATCCATGATGTAGTTACCGGTGAGGTAGATAGCGTGGGTACCGGTGACAACGAAGAAGACCTTCTCGCCCTGGTTGACGGTGATGTCGAGGGGCTGCTGGTAGTTCTGCAGAGAGTTAGCGGGGCGGTGGCAGTTGGGCTCTGAATCCGGTGCGTACCTTCTCAGTGTCGAGAGTGCAAATAACAAAGTTCTCGAGATCGCCGCCCTCGTCGTCGTCCTCATCATCCTCGTCAGACTCCTCATCCTCGTCCTCGTCCTCCTCTTCGTCCTCCTCGGCAGCCTTGCCCTTGCCCTTGCCCTTGCCCTTGGACTTGGCGGGGGCATCTTCCATGTCCTCGTCGTCATCATCGGCCTGGGTGGCAGCAAGGAGCTTGCGAATGGCGGCAGCCTGGTTGGATTTCTTGGACTTGGCAGGGTCGCTGGGGCCGCCGTTGCCCTCCTCCTCCTCATCCTCATCCTCGTCGTCGTCATCAGAGGCGGCGAGGAGGGCCTTCATGTACTCATCATCCATCTCGTCGTCCTCGTCGTCCAGGCCGGGGAAGGCACGCTTCACGAGACGGAGGGTAGAGCGGGAGATTTTGGGAATGTTGCCATCCTCATCCGCCTCGGGCTCCTCGGTAGGGTCCACAGCAGCCATTGTGATGCGGAACTATCAGGCATCAAGTTAGCTTCAAATCTCACGAGGCACACGCGAGAGCGTCGTAAGCCAATTGAGCAGCACGCCGGTGCGCAAGGAAAGCTCAAGCATCGCAAACATCATTCCCGACTTACAGAGGCAGGGAAGTCCATGGAGGCGGGAATCAGGATCTCGCCGGGAGGGACCTCGAGGCCATAGACGGGACCAGAAATGCCAGCCATTGTGGAGATGTTGGTGTGAGGGATATGCGAGAGAAGTTGAAATTGGGAGTCTGGGGATAGAAACTGAACTCTACAACAAAACGAGATCCAAGAGGAGGTGTGGGAAAAAAAGTTGGTAATACGAGAGGTGTGAAGGAGGATGGAGGAAAAGAGGCAGCTGGCCGTCACTTTTTTTTTTTCACATTGCGCCGGCTGTACCCAGAAAATTTCTTTGCCCAGTATTTTTCTGCCATCCGCCGCAGTTGGAGACGGCCCCGCTAGAGGCTACAGCAGGCCAATACAAAACTGCGATAAGGTCTTATCAGGACCGCGCATACTGGCTGTCTTAGCAACCAAATAAATGAGGGAACAAGCGGGGCATCTAATCGCCCGCCCTCCACCGCCTTCAACACTGCGACGCTCGTAGCTGTAGCTGTAGCTGATACAGGACGGAATACGAAGGGGGAAATGTATATAAATTATATGAATTTTCAATAATTCAAGACAGTGGTATCGGCTCTTACTGCTCTGCGGTTGTTCTCGACCTACGTTCATCCCCCACGCCATGGCGAGCCGCCGGCCACTTAAACGGCACAGGACGGAACGTGCAAGGCACTAACTAGTCATGCCAACTATTCACACTCTAGCAAAGTTATAGCGTCCTCTCATAACTAGCTCAGTTGGTTGTTCTGGGAATCCCGTCAGCGGATAGATATCCGGCGCCACCAGATCCACTGGCAAACCATAAATCCCGTGAGGTACTCTGTGTGCGCCGGAACAGTCTGCCATGAGAAAGAAATGTATTATAGTTCACTTCTGTTTATGGATACAATGATAACACTATCAACAGTTGGATATTACTATTACTATTCATCTGCACATCCTTCACCACCCCCCTGTCTGCCATCCAAGCGAATGTGTTTCGACCAGTCCGGTGGCTATCGCCCCTAGATTATGTAAATTACCCATCATTCCCGTAAAACTCCAGTCCGGTCAAGTTTTGAAAGCTGTATAAAACGCCCATGTGCGAAAACCATGGTGCAACAGATTGCCATGCTATGCAGTTGAGTGCAGGAACAAGAACCACGACGCCGGCGTAAGCGAGTGTCATAATGGCCGAATTGAAAAGAAGAAGCCAAACAAAATCTTGCCTTGCCTGAGATGAGCATTTGGCAACCCCTCACCCTGCTGAATTAGTTATTAAATTTGAGATATTGTGCAACGCCATTATGCCATGTCTGCGACAGAGGGCTTCTCGACCTTTTGTCGACTCTCTTTCTTGCTGACCTGATATACAAGGTTGACGGTCCAAAGCTGCGCAACTGCTGCCTGCATAGCTGGCACAGTACCGTACAGCGGCGCGACAAGGGGAATGAGCGTGTAGTCCAGGATATTCTTCTTGAATGAGCGGTGGGAAAACGACATGCCCGAGTCTAGGCCGGCATGGCGCATGTCGCGCTCGCGCGCCTGGACTGCTAGACGGTGATAGCTCTCATAGAGAAAGAGATATGCACCAATGGCCATGAAACCAACAGTGCGGAGAATGGCGGAAATGGTAAATGTCCAGCTGAGACCGTTGGGGTCACCGTTGCCTTCGGTTATCCAGGCCCAGATGGCAGACGCAATCACAAGAACAGCCATGTGCACAGGAAGGAAGTGCGCTTCGAATAAGCGGTGATACATGTAAAAGATTCGCTCCCAGTCTGGTGCCTGAATTGTCTCTTGCACCACATCGGAGAAGATGCCGTTCTCGGCCGCCACCTCAGCGTCACCACCGTTGGCCTGGTTCTCCGGGACGTAGAAATCGGCATCGTCGCCTGTATGTTGGTGCAAAGGACGGAAAGCTCGCGTGGTAAGTTTTCTGTCACGCCAAAGCCGGGCTCCCTGTCGCAAAGCAAACCCAGAGTCAAGAGCTCCCCACATGTGACGCAAGGCCTGGCTGTAGCGAGCGCCGATATCGCGTGCAGCTCCGCGGATGCCAGCGCCGCTGCCCGATGTGATGTTGCTCTGGCTGACAGGACTCATGATGGTGCGGCAGGTCAGGTTTCCGTTGGTGGCAAAGAAGCACTTGACAAACATGTGCAAATCCTCGCCAATGGCCTCGGCGTCCGTGTCCCAGCCACCGACGCGATCGACAAGAGCCAGGGGAACAGAGTAGACCGAGGTGGGAGGAGAGAGCACAGATCCATTGTACAGACCAGACATGCCGGCGGCGCACCACAAGACATCGGCTGTGCGGACAAGGGCGGGAACATTGTGAGCATTGCGATCAAAAATGATGGGCGCAGCGTAGAGCGTGTTCAGGGCCGTGTCTGGGTTTGAGAGATGCATGTTCGTGACTTGGGCGAAATACTTGGAAGCGAGGTGGCTATCAGCTGTCACATTGTTAGAAACCTGTACAGGGGGCGAACATCTGGCCAAAACATACCGTCCATGCTCGTGATGACGACATTGTTGCGCGTCTTCGTCGAGTACTTTTCACTTAGCTTCTTGGCGGCCCAGGCCATATTGCTTCCCTTGCCGGCTGCTTCACCGGGAATGTCGCCAGGATGTGTGGTGTAGTCCATGCGACGAAACTTTCTGCCGAACTCCTGGATGAGCTCAAGAGCCTTGGATTCTCCTTTGACCTCGCGCTGTTCCATTCCCAGGTAAATCTGGAGCGGAGAAGCCTGATTAGCAAACACGTGGGGTACGTTGGACTCTCAGGGGGCGTACATCGTATGTCATAGCAGCGTGAGGATGGCATGCTAGGACTTCCAGGGACTCTCTGAGAGTATCGATTTCTTCCTTATAATTAGGGATAATAATGGCATGAATGACACTATCTGCGGTTGGCTCCTCAGATTCAGACATGGAGCTCAGCTCAATGTCGCTCATAGGGTCAACCGATGAGGCAGAGATGCTCAACCGCTCCGTTGTGAGAGTTTCCGAGCTCGAGATAGACGCCTGTGAGTCGCGGCGTGGCCGATGCGTTTTGTAGTCGCGAATTGCATGCAGACGAGCATCTTTTCTAAGAGACGCAGTAATATCCCACACAGCCATGCACGCGCGAATTGGCGCAATAAAAACGAGGAAGTGAATCAACAGGGAGTAGTAGGCGAAGACGTAGGACCAGACACCAGCGCCGTAGCTAAATCGCGAGGGGGGCGTTTTGTCGGTGGAATCGGGTTTGACGAGACGTCGGGCGGCATTGTACTCGTGTGAAAGCACCCAGTACGTGAGGGTTAGCAGTGCAATGAGACTGAGACCACCCACGCGTCTTGAGAACCACGCAAAGATTGCCATGACTGCTGCGGTCGTTTGAAGGATGGACTCAGACCGCATCCACTGACGTCGTTGGTCTGAGGTTTGAAGGGGCGAAAATGCTCGACTCAAGACACCTTTAAAAGAAGGATAAATGCAAAGAGGGACAATGAATATTTTCGAGGCGTCTTGCCTTGAGATGAACGACCCAAAAGATAGACCACCAAGGTAAGTTTGGAAGGAACGCCTGGGGAGAAGAAAGGGAAAAAGAGGAAGATAAAGTTGTCACGGGGCTGCTAGTGACGAGCGAAGAAGATAATGACCCGATGTGAAGTTGACCCTGCTAAGCAGAAGGAGGGAGTGGGTGACGTGAAGGAGGAAGGAGGGGGGGGTGCATTTACCAACTCCAGGTACCGCAGACACCAATGACATGACGAGACTGCCAATGCACTTGGCAGAGTTGAAAGGAGAGGGGGATGTACATGTCGTTTGATCCTCCAGTGAGAGGTATGACGAGGCAGGGAAGGCAGTTGAAGACCTACCCATCCTGGGCAGACTATGAAAGCGAGCTAGGCGTAACTAAGGCAGTCAGGGTCTAATTCATTCAGCTAATAATCTCTGGATTTCTTTAAACAACCATACCCGTTTAGGCTTTAAAACACATCTTTCTTCTTTGTGTGTTAAGCGCCGTCCATAACCATGGCAAACAAAGGCCTTTTCAGGCGGCTCGTAGCGGTGGTAAGCGTCGTGTATCTCGGGGAAAGTTTACGAGCAGAAACTCGAAATAGCACTCCGTTTTGATAGCCATGATAGAGGCAATGTTCGTAGGGATGAGAGAGCGAGTAGGCTCGGAGGGGAAAGGTTGGTGGGCGACCAAAGGCGGCACGTCGTGGCTGGACGGGTGGAGTTTGGGTGTGCAGGGGGTCATGTTGCTTGGGGCGTGCGGTTCAGTAGTACTTGATGACAATGTACTCTGACTCTGACATTGACTGTACAAGTCGACGGGCTACACGGCGCGGGTACCTTTCCTAGTGCCGAACTATATCTTATTAATAATGAAGTAAAAACGAATCCGGTGGTGAATTGACACTTTGGTCCATAGCTTCTTGGAGGTTCAAGTCGGCCAACATTGAAGCCAGTGGCAGTGGCAGAGAAGTATGATCCGAATTGATAGTGGAATCAGTGCCGTAAAGCGGTTACTGGTGGATATTTGGATACGGCGATGCGGTAGGATTGACACGCACAGTTCTGCTCGCACGACATTGCCCTGCTCAGGCCTCGGCGCAGAGGCTCTGGACCAGGAAATCTGACATGCATCGCGTACGTCCAAGCCGCAATGGAATACATGTCTCGTGCGTCTCTGGTTTCCTCTATAGATTAGCTGACATTGACGGCCTCATTGAAGTTCATCACCCCACGTCGTCGGCAAGTCAAAAGACGTTCCGGATTCCCCAGAGCCAACACTGCCACAAACGTACGCGCGGCCGAGGCTCTGCTGAAACAAATTGCGGGTAAGTATGTAGTTCGCTAGAAGGGATGACGGCCAACTCAATCTTGACAGTGAGAGAAAAAAAAAATTCGAGTTCTGCCAAGATTGTTGCTTTCCCGTCTGTGCCAGTTGACAAGGCGCAGCACAACGGGGCTGGCGGCATCAACTCGAAAACATTCGTATTGTACCGCCTTTAATGTCAAGCAGTACCAAGCAGCTCATTTAAGACAAATACTGACAATGAGAGCGGTGGCTGATCATATGTACCGACTTACACGCTCCTCTGCTGGCGAACCAACACGTGACGGACATGGCAATCCCGTGTCAATCTTAGAAGAACCGATGAGCCCTATGAGCAAAAAAGGTACATGACAGCCAAGTCACCCAACCCCCAGCCTCGCCTAGCCTGTGCCGCGAACAATGCCGACAACGTTTTCTGGGGTCCTCTTCTTAGTGGCCGGATTCTCGACGCTCCATAATCAAGGCCAATCCCGATCGGGGCTCCCTGGACCAGGGGTTCACCTCAATCTTTTTCAACGATTTGCGAGGGGGGCCAAACTCGCATGTATATTCGAAACATTATTCTTGCCGGGCTTGTAGCATATGGTTTGGGGGTTTATCGACTGGTGGTCGGTCATTCCCAGCAAACCATGTGCATAGAGTCCGGCCACCACAAAACCCAGACGCGATAAAAATGACAAAATGAACAGAGTGTGGTACGTCATGGGTGCAGTCCATCTGCAAATCACAAAGTCGGGAAAAAACACGCCACGACGCACACGCCCCCTCCATCGCAGGGGAGAGGATCTGCTCGTCAGTTGCGCAACAAGAAAAAAAACCAGCAATAGTGAAGCTAGTTGCCGCCACGAGGTCCTGCCAGTGGCCCACCGATTCGATACAGCTCCCAGCCCCCGGCCTACACTTATAATAAACGGTCAAAGTCGAGCAAGTGACAACCCTCATGATCTAAAGACAATTCCTCGGTAGACCCCCCTCCCCGGTTGGCTTGCTTGGGAGATTGGATGCCCACCCACGTGTGCGCAGCAGTTGGGTGAGGTCGTCAACTACCGCGCGGAGCCCCATGCTGCGGAGCCGAAGTGAGGCAGCCAAGTGGCAGAGCTGCGCGGAAACACCACCCACAGCATGTTTCACAGAGGTCGACAAAGATACAAAGAGCAAAAGAAAAAAAGAAAACAAAGAAAACAAATGTCCTGTTAAAATGAATGCTACCCTTCTCCTATCGAGTTGTTCAGCTCAATGGACAGGCCGGCCCACTGGTTTCCCTTTCACTCACAACTGCCAAGAAAAGGCAGGGGGTGCTCGTAGGGCACATGCCAACTACCTAGCTCTTTGGGGTAGCGATAGCTTCACCTTGGGTGGGTGCTTGCGTATGCTCCAAGACTGCGCCTTTCCCAGCCCAATGTCCTCTTCACAGCCCATCGCTGTCCTCGGCCCCGACTTCCGTAGCCATCATCTCCGATTACTGGGCAATTTAGCCTGAGATGTGCCCTATGGTTCGCCGCCTGTTCTCAGGCACTCGGCGCAGTGCCCTCCGTTGACAGTATAGACCGGAGGCTGTGCTTTCCGCAACATGTCCAATATCTGCTAGGGTTGGGATGACACTCATTGCTCGCGTGCCGTCTCGTGCGCACTTCAGCCCCGAAAATATACAGCCGCTACTGGTCCGACCATTAAACTGCTGTAATTGTTGGTAGCGCTGCTTCTCAGCATGCTCGTAGCATTTGCGAGTCTCAGAGAAGTGGCTGACGCACGGTAGAATCACCGATGACGGAACATGCATCATTCGTGTAGCAAAGCCTTCTGTTCTTTGCTGGGTTGCACGTCACATTTTCATGGAGCCTTTTCGAAAAGTTGCAGTATGGGTTTGGCAGCCTACGTTTAGATGTTAGCTTCAAAGGGATGGCCAAGGTAAAGGGGAATAGCCAACATACGTCAATAAACTTCTCCAAATTCTGGTCCAAATTGGCAAGATCCTCCTTGCGGCGCGTGTTTTCAGCAATTAGCTTTTGCTTTCTCTTGAGAAGTTCTTGGCGGCGCTGCTCCAAGCCCTCGCGTTCCGCTCGCTCGTGCTCGATTCTCGCAAACATGAGCTCATTCTCGTCATCAGTTGCGTGGTCCTGGTTCTGCGCGAGGAACTCTTCGACTGGAATCAACGGCAGTTGCTGGTATTTATGACTAGCCAGATTGTTAGCCAGGCTAACCTCGCCTCCCCTAGAAAGCGCGACGCCCCCCTGTTCCCATCATCACGTACTCGTAGGATTCGCAGGCCACAATCTCGTCCTGGAGATGGCGCTGCTCATAATACAGGTTCTGCAGCTGCAGGTGCAGGCGGTCGACGTCGTGGCGGCGCTCGGCCGTCTGCGCCTTGGTGTCACGCGCGGCAAACGAGGCGTTGCGATGGAGGCCGCGCAGGTGCGAGATGCTCGTAAGAAGACGTTTCTGCTGCTTGGCCACCTCGACGCTGTTCTCGGGCGTCGCGGGCGCGCCGATGAGCTGCAGCAGGTCGCGGGCCTGGTCGCGTGCCTGGTCCGACACCTGCAGCACGGCGGCGAGGCTGGGGTCACTGATGATTCTATCGACAGTCATTGGGACGGTAGTTTGGCTAGATTGATGCAGTCGTCGAGGTGGTGCCTAAAAATGCTGATGGCAATCTGCGTAGGCAAGATGTTGTTTGCGAACAAGAGAACACAGCAAAGGAGCTTCAAAGAGCTGGGTCAACTTCGGGGTTCAGGGCAAGCCACAGTTGGCGCCACAGCAGCCTCCCGAAAATGGTGTGGCGTAATATGTACTCGGTGCTACGACGCCTGTAATTCAGCGCCGAGGCAATGCTTACAGTGCGGATACTGCCACATCCCGTCCAAACATGGCCTCGGTGATAATTCGTACTTGAGTCAGCCTCACTCATTACGTCTGACAAACGGGCATTGCCGCCAAGGTTCCCCCGTCGCAACAATTTCCAATCTGCATTCAACACCACTCCTTTCCCCCTCTTTACACCCCTAGCCACGCGCCAATTCCGTCTTTCCTAACTCCTCTTCTTCCTTCCCTAAAACTTCTTTTTCCTCAAAAACATTACATCCGGCCTGAACCCGCATTTCCCCTGCTAAATCGACTCTCATCGCGTCTTCTCCACCCGCGGTGGACTTTGTTGAGAAGCCGCGCCCGTCCAGACCGCAGGGGTTCCCCATTTCTCTCTGACACAAAACCCAACCAATTGGTGCTGTGGCCGACTGCTCGTGCCGGCTACGATTCGGCCTCGATCCGAAAATATTTCGCTGCACCTCCTCACGCCTCCCCTTGAACACTTGCTGCCCAAAGTGCCCCCCCCTCATGCGTTGCATCTGACCCCAACCACCGCGGCAATTCATCACCATGCCGACCGTCACAGCTTTCACACCGACTTGCTCCGGCAGGCCGAGCAACAGTGACGACGCCCTCTCCTCCGCGACGACATCTGGCGCCGACACGCCTGCCAACGATAAGCCGACCTTGCAGCGCCGCCGACATTCCTTCTTCCTCCCGCGCCGCAAGTCCATCGTCGGCCACATCATGGACACCGAGGAGGGCCTGCTGCTCAAGGTCGACCTCTTCCTGTCCGAGCTGGAGCGCCGCCTCGAGTTCATCGAGCGCTACGGCGACATGGGCCGCGACTACAACATTTCCCGCGCCTTTTCCACCCTCCAAGCCGTCCGCACACGCTGCGCTCAAGCCTCCGAGGAGGTGATTGGCGCCGGCCGCCGCCGTCTGCACGTCATGATTGAGACTCTCGAGACGCGGTACCAGGAGACGCTGGCGGCGACCGAGTCGCTCCCCGAAAAGGCCTGCGTCGGCATCGATCTGCTCGAGGGCATGCTTGCGGAATTTGAGGAGCGTGCGCACAAGCTGCGCGAGCAGAGCTTTGCGAATGCTGCCACAGCTGCCGAGGCTTTCATGGACGAGGGTCGTCGTGTCGCCACGGAAAGTATTGGGCGTGCCCGAGAAGTAATGGATGAGGGTATTGAGCGTGCCAGGCGTGCCGCTCTCTCTCTCGAGGAGCACATCCAGCAAGCCGTTCTCCTAGCCAAGGAGAGACGGCTGTTGGCGTACCATGAGTTGCCCGTCCCGTGGCGCAATAACCCGCATATCCACAAAGGTTATCGCTTTACCGAGAGCAAGCTGGAGTGTGTGCGCTCCGCCTTCAACATTTCCAACGAGTCCATCAACATTTGGTCTCATGCCCTAGGTTTGGTGCTGGTGCTCGCCGTCGCCTTTTACTTTTACCCCACCAGCGCCAACTTCTCGCTCAGCACCAAGAGCGACGTTTTCGTGGCCGCCGTCTTCTTCATCATGGCCTGCCTTACGCTCGTGTGCTCCGTCATCTGGCATACGATGAACTCGGTCGCTGACGTCAATGCTATTTCCATTTTTGCCTGCGTCGACTACACCGGCATCTCGCTGCTCATTGCGGCGTCCATCATGACGACCGAGTATACGGCATTCTACTGCGACCCCATCAGCCGCTGGACTTATATGCTGCTGACGGCTTCTCTCGGCGTAGGCGGCGTCATCCTGCCCTGGCATCCCAAGTTTAATAAACCTGACATGTCCTGGGCACGCGTCGCCTTTTTCGTCGGCCTGGCCCTCACGGGCTTTATGCCCATCCTGCAGCTGCTCTATACGCACGGCTCAGAATTTGTCGTCGACTTTTACTCGCCCATTCTCAAGTCGGTTCTCGTCTACTTTGGCGGCGCCATTGTGTACGCGAGCAAGATTCCCGAGCGCTGGTACCCGGGCATGTTTGACTACATTGGCGGCAGCCACAACCTATGGCACGCTGCGGTGCTCGGTGGCATCATATTCCACTACACGGCCATGCAGCAGTTCTTCGCCAACGCCTTTGATCGCGCTGTGAGCGGCTGCCCTGCCTACTAGACGAGCCGCAGCACACTAGGTAGCGTCATACGAATATGTACATATGGGTGATCTTGACGCTGAGGATATGAGGGACGTGGGATATATAAGAATGCATATACGATTGACGACAGGGTTGCCTGGCTGGGCGACTATGGAACTGGCCGTCGGCGGATGAAGGGTGAGGTGCTTGGGGATGCTGCACATTACGGAGTACGTACTTTGCATCACATACACCGGCGTTTGGGACACTTGATACATTTCACATTCGCTTCTATATATAGCATTCATTAGAGTCGACTGTGCTTGTTTCCGGACGAGTGCATAGACAGATGAATTTTTCTTCCTGTTCATCAATCAAAAACATGACATTTCACCCGTTCAAGCCGTCCGTCCTACTATATCCTTTGTCCTAATGTATCGTCCTGTATCCTAGTGCTACAAATGCACATGCGTTATAGTAAAGAAATATCCGTTGCCATACAATGCCAGCCATTCCAAGAAGTGTGAAAATTAGGAAACCATAAATTCGTGACAATGTGCAAGCGCCTACCGAGCAAAAAGCCAGACATAAAAAAAAGCAAAGTCGTCAAGAAAAATGCGTTGGGTGGAAACACGGCGCTACTGCGCGTGGACGACAATGTCGGCGTAGATGTCGTCGGGGATCTGCTTGATGATGCCGATGGTGACGCTCTTGATGAGGTCGGCATTCAGCGGCGGAAACGAGCGCAAGACTTTATTTGGGCTACACAGACACACACTTGTCAGTACACACTCTTTTTCTTTTCTCTTTTTTTTTGGCTCTCCCCCCAACTGGGCGGTGCCGGACCACGTACCTTGGCGACTGTAGAATCTGCGCGCGCATAATGGTGAGCTGGGCGACGATGCACAGGATATTCAAGTGCGGCCCATACGCGAACAAGAAGTCCCAGAGCTTGAGCACCTCTGGCAGCGGGGGGGTGCAGGCGCAGAGGGTGAGCACGGACGGGAAGGCGTAGATCTCTGCCGCCAGCCCCTTGGCGGTGAGGTACAGGCTGAGCCGGGGGTCGACGACGGCGAGGACGCGGTCGACGAGCGCCAGGCCGCGGTGCACGCCCGTCATGGCGCCGCGGATGTACGCCGGGCACTCGCGCGTGAGCAGCGTGTGGAACGCGGCAAACGCCTCGCCCTCGCTGCGCGCCGCGTACAGGAACGGCGCCGCCAGCACGTTCATGCCCTGCACGTACGTGCCGGGTTCGGGCGCGCCCGCGCGCGACCCCCCCGCGCCGGACATGCTGCCGCCGCCGCCGCCTGTGAGGGATTCGCGGGTCGGCCGCGACGAGTGGCTGCTGCCCGGCCGGCTCTGGAGGATCAGCGGCGCATCGGGATCCTGCTGCTGGCGCTCGGCCTCGCGCGCGTCGTGCAGCTTCCACGCCACGGCGTTGAGCAGCCGGATGAGGCTCGCCTCGCTGACGCGCCGCCGGAAGAGCGGATCGGTGGTGAGCGTGCGGAAGGTGTCGTTGCGGATCTTGGCGTACGCGGGCGAGGCGCCCCGGTGGATGAGGCCGAGGTAGTCGTCGGTGGGCATGATGGGGGCGTCGAGCAGGACGAGCCAGACGTAGATGCGAACGGTGGACTTGGGGCACCCAACACGTTAGCTTCTTTTCCGATTATAATAAATTGTACATGTTCATTGGAGGGGGCAGCATACCATGCCGTCTTCGGCACTCTTGACGCCCTCGTCGACCACCTTCCACCGCGCGCTCTCCAGCGCCCCGATAAAGTCGCCGTCTGTCGGGCCCTCGCGGATAATCTGCTGCAGCGAGAGATGGCCGTGGGAGAAGACGGGCTTGGTGGCGGCGCCTGGGCGCCGCATAGGGGCGTTCATCGTGTGCATCATGGGGGCGACGGCATCGCTATTGGCGCGGCCCCTGCTCCGCTGCGGCGCGGGCACGACGACGACGGGCGGGCGAGGGGGCATCGTGGGTATCGTCGCGGCGTTGCTGCTGCTGCCGCGCACGGGCGAGGCGTTGCGGTGCAGCGCGTCGCGGTAGTGCGGCGCGATGAGCGCGTTTGCCTGGCTCGCGGCCTTGGCGCCGAGCGTGTGCGCGGATTGGAGACGCCGCAGGGCGCGATGCGTCCGCGGCGACGGCGGCGGCTGCAGGTCCGTGTGGAGGAGCGAGTTGTGCTGGGCCGAAGCAGCAGGAGGGAGCGGCGGCGCGGGGGCATTGCTGGTCGGTGTCGAGCCCTCGCGGGAGGGACTGGTTGTCATGGCTGGAGTAGGTGCTGGGCGAGCCTGGAAAGGGCCCGTTGGGAGGGGAGCGGCCGGGACGAGGTCGGAAGCTTCAAAGTGCATCGTGTGTTGTCGCGAGAACCGTGTAGAGTGGTCGGAGGTTTAGTGGGGAGGTTGGGTGGTGGGACGGACGAGGCTGGCTCAGCCTTGCGCGGAGTTAGAGTGCCATTGGAAAATGAAGGCAGTTTAAAAGAAAAGTGGATTATTGAATATGTCAACGAATTAGTGTTATTACTGTACTAAATCCAGGTCCCGTTCGATTTCCAAATGGCAGGGTAAATGGTCTTAGAATGAGTGATGTGGGAACAGCATGAGAGTCCCGCGAAGGCATTGACGTGACGTTTTCTGCCCTTCTTAAGGGTTGTTCTGAGGAGTACTTCTGATATATATAACCTGGAAAAAAATGCCTTGCTTTATCCGAGCACATCCGCAAGCATCTTCAAAAGTCCCAGTCTCGAGATCGAGGACACATCCCCCCTTCCGCCAACCACATCACGGTTCCAGCTCCCGAAGCTTCTGATACGCAAACTCCAGGCTAATATCAGCATTTTCCAGCGCCGCTCCATGCTGTGCGACGCGGTCGCCAATCGCATGTCGGAGGCGCGACTCGGTAGATCGCTTCAGCACGATGCCCTCCTCTCGCAGCAGCTCCACCACCGCCTTGGCCAAGTCATCGTCGCTGCCCCCATCCGGATTCGCAAAGCGAGAAGCAGAGGGCGATTCGTTGAGGTTAGCCACACGCCGTCCTCCGCCGCTGCCGCCGCTGCCAAACAAGTTGCCGCGGGAGCGTCCGTCGGTGATTGGCGTCGCCGCCATCGTCTGCGTGGTGCGCTGCGAGACGGGCGTTTGCGGCGCCGCCGGAGGCTCGTCGGCCGTCTTGTCCAGCCTCGCCTGGGGCTCGTCTACTTCTGTGAGGAAGAATTCGCACTCGATCCGCCCGGTACGCGGGCAGCGGGCAACTTGCGAAATCGGGTTATTCACTGCATCGCCGGGTGCTATGGTTGGGGGAGGGGAGACAAACATCGTTGGCCAAAGGTGTTTTCTCGGCTCGAGGTGTGCCATTTGGCCTCTTTATTGCAGCCGCAGAACCACTTTCCATCTCGGAATTTTCCACTATCGTAATTCGAAAATAGCTCCATGGCTGATACGTCCTACGGTCGTGACGCTTGACAGTCGAAATGAGTTTCAAAACAGCGTGACGTGATCTGTCCAGAAGAAGGGTGCGGAAGATGATGAAATAAAGAAGGAACCCTGACTGGCAAGGGTGCAGAGAGGGGATGTATAGTAAGAGACCACCTCAGTGCTTGGGCTCGGCTGCAGGGAGCCTGGTGATGAGGCTTGCATGAGGACGGCTGGGCGGCCGCACAGCTCGCTGTCTGCCTTGTGAGAGGGAAAGTAGGTATTGATTGGACCATAAGCTTCCTCAATTAGCCTTCTCCGCGCTCAAGCGAAATCACATAATTATCTGACGCAAGAGGTTCCCTCGCGCATGACACCATCTCGCCCGCGTGTCCAAGTGTCGCTAGCAAGCTACAGTATTCTCTCACCGCAGCAAGCACATTGACTCACCTTTATCATCACTGGCAACATCAGCGGAAGAATCTATGAGAAAGGCTTCTGTAATGACACTGATGAACAGCGTGCAAGCCACGCTGCAGGTGGTAGCTATGCCCTCCATGCCTCTACAGGTTGCCATGATAGGCGATGGCAGCTGACACGAATATTGATCATGAAAATAGCACTCTCAGCTCTCCGATCGCCCTCTTTGAAGCCTTTTCTTTCGTTGACATGACTTTCTTGAAAACATTTTACAATTTGGCCACTGTACACATTCCTTTTCGATGGGCTACTACTGTTCTTGCTGGTTGGATTAACAGTCTTGATGTCTTGAACAACTCCTCTACGCTGCTAAAGGCAAGCGGATTTTCAAAATTTCGAACTAGTAGTATTGGATGTGTGCATCGAGCTACCGATGTTCTATATGAAGAAAGTATGTAAATATAGGTAGCATACTTGGATGCTATGGAGAGTTGCTCTTCCAATGCAGCTGACGTACCTAGCAAGGTCAGCGTCTAGCCAATGAGATAATCTAGAACATTTTATTCCAGTCCTTATAAGGTTTTTATCTTTATCGGCACTCATTTTTATCATTTAATAGTAAATAACGTCAGTTTTGGCAGGCCGCACTGTCTGTGCTGCTTGGATAAATACCCTGTAAAAGTGGGAGAGAGCCTAGACGACTTCCTAGGCCAAGTAATGAGCCGGCCTATTCAAATTTTTATTGCCTTGAAAAATGCCAATTTCCCGGATGGAATTTTACGTGTGTGTTATGTCAGCGTACGCCATTTGAGTCCATCGTGGAACACGACAAGTCCTTTGTCGCTTGACGCTGTCAAGGTGGCACACAGACTCGGTGGGCTGACTGCAACCTGGAGGCGGTTAACTGGCGGCTGTAGATGTTTCTGGTTCTTTGACGAAGATACCCCTGAGTAAATGTTCCTTTAAACTGAGACTGGCAAACATTTGGCGCAAGGAGAACAGTGGCGCAACGCTTCAGAACGCTGCAGTATGGCATCTTGTGTTTCTGTTGCGTCCAGGTAAGAAGAATTTGTGTCGCCTACGAGATAGTCTCTTTTCTTTACTGTCGGCATGACGGAGCCGCAGGATCAGGCGACCGTTTCGCCGCTGGGTTTCTGGGAGAAACCGCCTTGTGCGGCTCGGCATACTAAACTTCTGCTCCCTCTGAAGATGACGCTTGTAGAGCCCTTTTTAGGCAAGTGTAGCCAAAAAGGAGTAACCGCGAACATTATTAACAACACGAGGGCGCTTGTTCGGCTACCCGGCACACTGGGCGGCGACGTCATTGGAACCAACCTTCCAGGCAACATCTTGAGAATATGGATTATGCGGTACGCAAAATTAGGAGTAGTAGAGCTGATAGCATTATTTCCAGATTGTGAATTCGCCGAGCTTCAGATCAATAGAGCGTGCATTATACCCAGGACTGGCTGCACATAGACAGAGCTACGCATGCGCAAATACGAAAGGAGAGCCGCGACTCTTTGCCAGCATGCAATATTTCTCCAACTTGGAGCAAAATCATGTTCCCGGAAATCCTACACACTCGAAACACAGTGAGCCGAGTCCATGGGCGGACCTTTCTTTGTCTCTGATCCGGAGAACAAACAGACAAGGCGGACCTGGCAGCTCCAGAGAATGACTTGTCGTGTTGCCCTTTCATATTTTTTTATAGGAGGTCTTAACAAAAGGGAAACTCTAGTTTCAAGCATCTTTTTGTCAAGGCGGTTAATGCAGCAGGTAAGACTTCAACTAGAATGGCTGAAACGTACTCGCGTACCTCGCAGGCCACGCGCGCGCGCATCGCCTACAACTGAGGGTGAGGAAATCAGTATTGGGGGAATAGAAGAAAGATTGCTCAAAGGGTATGATGCCGGCGTCAGGGCTCGTCAGACAGGTATAAAGGTGCGTGGCAGCCCTTCATCTTGAATGTCTCTTTTACGGCCTGTTCAGCGACACACCATCAACAAAAAACAATCCCGCCTTGTGTCCTCACCTAAGTTATCAGATCTCTACTCCCTGAAAACGAAAATCGAAAACCCTCCTCCCGCACCGAGCTTGCGTCGCTCCCTCGATACGTGTTAGCATTCGACTACAAGAAACTGCCATGGGGTGTGGTGGGAGCAGACCCGTCAAGAAACTTGATCTCTCGGGCGTCGAACCCTACGATCTGGTAGTGATCGCTTGTCCGCCATGGTGCAAGCGCCATTTGCTGGTGCCCTGTTCCCCAGAAGAACTCGATCCCGAAGAAGAGAGGCTTCCACCAGAACAGAAGGAAAGGATCTTGATACATCTATTGACCGAGTATGTGGATAAAGTCGTACGCAAGCCTGGTGTGGGCAAGATGAGGTTGTGCGGGAGTGGCGAGTATACACACGAAAGTAACGATTATTATGAGGTTCTCTGTGTCGCGTGGGATGCCGCGTTCGCCTCCCAATTGAGCGCGGAGGTGACCGATCATTTTACTCAACCTCTTCCCCCCCACTATGGCGTGAAGACGCTCCCTGATGGCCCCAAGTTCGTCTACGAGCCCATAACCGGGGGCGGCAAGTTTATCGTCCTAGATTCGCTTCGCAAGGGCGAAGACCAAAAATAGGGGGAAGACAAGTGCCTATCACAGAATGCGCGCTTTAGGGAGCTGCGCATGCTGCTGGTGAGGCACACGAGTGTCGAATAGCGGCTAGCAAGAAGCAAGTGGTGACGGAGATTACAGATCAATAGTGCAGAGACATACATGACAGCGGCGATTCTATTATCCACTACAAACTGAGATTGTATCCCACGTGTCCTCGTTTGGTTCTAGATGCACCGATATTCTTTACTACATGTTCTTGTTCGTTTCAAAAGAAAACAAGACCAATCGTTTCTCTTCCAAGAAACAAGGCACGTAGCCGTACGTGCTCCGCGTAAGGGGCGGGAAATAGTCCTCAAACAGGGCGCGTCTGCTCCCTGAGAATGGCGGTATATGTAAATGGATTGAGCAAACAGACAAGCCTTGAGAGGTGGACGGTGGACCATCTTCTTTCGCCTGAAGCATCTTTTTTGTCACAAGCGGTTGGCGTAACGAGTAAGACCTCAGTAACCAGCATAGCCGAAACGGACGTATGTAGCAGCTACGCGCGCGCATCGTAGCCAGGGTGGCATGACTCCTTTATGTCATTTGGGAATGATGCATCAAGGTCACGCTGCCAGCGCCAGAGGTTCGCCAGAACAGGATAAAGGTGCGCGACAGCCCAGTCGGTCTTGAGATTTCCTTTGCGGTTCAGATACCAAAACCTTCAACAACAAAACAACCTTACCTTGCACCACTACCTCGATTACGTGCTATCGAATACCACTTTTGTTTCTTTTCAAGGAAAAAAAACTCGACCTCGTCGATACGTTCTTGCATTTGCTTGCGAAAACAGCCAATCGTTCTTGACGTGGTGCTATCGTGGGGTGCACCCAAGACGCCGAGATGGTAAATGGTTGGCCGATGCTGGTGTCTGTGGATACAAGAAAATCGTCGATACAAGAGCAAGAAAGGATACTAAGGGAAAGGGTGCTTGGGGGCCGCCACTTCAAAGTGCTCCGCAGAGACGAAGAATATTACAACTACCCCTTTCTCAGGCTCGAGTTTCCCTTTTCCGTCAATCGGCTCGCATTTTGTAAATCCTTTACGGACATGGATTATACTCATGGAATCACCATTCATGGAATCGCCACAAATGATGAGGATATCATGATCCCGCCATCCCTCAAGGGAATCATCAAGAATCGTCTCGAATGTTAGGTTCTGAGCAAGGCCATGCAAGCTCTAATGAAGTGCAAGGGGGCGAAGAAGGTACCATGTCATGAAGGATTCTGGGCGGCTGTATTGAGACGCCGAAGGAAAAGGGGTCTAGTTGAGCAGGGGGGGAGGTCAACGACGCAAGTTACTCTATGATATGCAAGGACGTCAGCAGTGGTCGAAGGTTATATATTGTTTCCAATCAACAATCCAATGTGCTTCTGAACAAGGTTTACTGTGTACAACAAGCAGCAGAATCCGCCATAGCCAGGCAAGGTTCTGGGCGAAAACATGAGAATGGTCCTGGGGCAAGATGACGTGAAGCCCTGAACAAGCAACCAATGCCTCGGGGGTCAGCCCGGATGCAAATTCGGCGCCGTGCTGGTGTTTCCGAATGACGTAGTGCCAAGATGGTGGTAAAGAACTGACGTCGTACGCCGTGGCTCGCACCATGTGGTTTCGAGCGAACGGCTGTCCCGGCATGTGGCATGACTTGATGTGGGAGTACAGAAGCTGGGCCATGGTGAGATGACGTCCAGCCAAGTCGACAAATCTAGAGGCGACGGGCCAGGGTTGGGTGTACGAGGCTTCATCTCTAGCCCAGCCGTGTCGTCGTCTGTCTTCATGGTGCCTAGGCTCTGATTCAAGCTTTGGTCAGGGCTGCGGCGAGCCATCTCTGCCGCCAAGAGGCTGCTCTGTTTGTCCTGGCTTCGGAATGTGAATGTCCCTCTCAGTGTTCAATAAGACTTTAGGACGAATGGTTCCATGTTGCCCGAATTTGACCCCGTCTCGACCAGCAGAGCGGCCTGGGAAATAAATACCAACTCTGAACCATGTTTGGACAAGGCTGCGGCAAAGGCAAGCCAAGACTTGTCGGACGGCAAATCGGTGCCGCGAGAGGGTCCGGGACCTCGGAGTATTTATCTGAGATATAGTTTGGTGGCTGTGGGTGGGATCGGCGTGTCCACAGCGTTGCAGAGGCTACAACGGATGGATCTGGAAGTGACGTCTGCGGAGATTGATGGATGCAGAATTGTGCAGTGGAATCAAGTCATGGTACTGATGGAATCGGACCGTCGGGAATCAAAAGGTTGGAACGATGATGCAATTGCTTTGCAGAAGAGGTAAGGAGGGCTTGTTGCGAGTAATGGCGGGCGTTTGTCAGCATCCAACGCCTGGAGTTGCTAATTTCAGAACCATCGTGCCCTGGAAATACCGTCCACGGCTCCAGCGCCTAAATCATAAATCCGGAGATGCACCCTTGTACCGACTACATCACTAATCGAGATTTCTTCGTCTGGTCTCGAGTACCATCTACCTTTTCAAACTCAAACACCCACTGTATCTTGTGGACTCGGCGCTGGCCCTTTGCTGCTCCAGGCTAGAGCCGATGGCGACATAGTCTCCATGTGGACCGTCAACGCCATGCTGATGTCGTGATTCCCCAGTGTTGAACCAGACAAAGAAGAACAAGGAAGCCAGGAAAAAAGGGCTCGTCGGGGCGGCAAAGGCGGCCATGGCCACCGTCCTGTCGGCACTTGACGGCATCTCCCTTGCGAAGACAGACAACATCAACAACCCCGCCACCTTGTCGATTCCCTCCCCAGGCTTCCCCCACGACTTTGACATCTCGCCCGACTTCATCTGGTCTGACCGCCGCGCAGATTTATTAAAGCCTTTCCCGACCCTTCCTTCCATCACCGCCACCCCGGACGCCTCTTGCGTTCTCCTTTGGTCTCGCCCCGCGTTTCTTTGTTCGCTGCTCAAGTCATCCGTCCCCCCCAGCGCCCAGCTGACCCCACGCCGACAAGCCGCCGCAGATTCAACGTTGGGTCGAACCAGCAGGGTGTGTGTGTCTCGTGGGCTCGTCGGCTTACACAACAAAGCCTGCGAGAGGCTCTCTTAATATCCCAGCGCCGGCCAAAAGCCACAAACACCAAACCGCGCCCGCCTGTCTCGTTTCCCCCCCCTCCCACTACGTCGGCGGCGTGCCTGCGTGGCCGCGACGGCTTCTCTCTTGGCTTACTCGTCACACCCGATTCTGCCTGCCCCTCCCCCGGCGTGCTGCAACGGTTTGCTCTCCTTGACGGACCGAAGAGGCTGTTGGACCCCTAAATCAGCTGGCGCATGCCCGGCTGCACTGTCTCAGATCTCCTCACGCCGTCAGTTATCAGCATCGACATGATGTTCTAGGTCCCAACCTCACCTCTCACGATATATTCCCCTCCTCGCCTCCTTTCCCCTCTCTCTTTCTCTTCCCCTCCTCCACACAAGCCACAGACATGCCGGACACTTCCAGCAAGATCCGCCAGGGCCTTGCCAGGGGCCTTGGCATACAGCTGGAGGACCCCGACCGCGGCCGCGATGCCGTCACCAGAGGCGAGTCGGTCATGTCGGCCCAAACCAGTGACTCTTTCTTCGAGGGCCCTCCGACCTCTTTCGAGTGGATTCAGGAGCAGGCCCCTACGCGCGAGGAGACAACTGCCTACATCAAGTCTCTCTTCCCTTTTCTCACCTGGATCACCCACTACAACTTGCAGTGGCTGGCTGGTGACCTCGTCGCCGGCATCACCATCGGTGCTGTCCTCGTCCCTCAGGGCATGGCTTATGCACTGCTCGCCAACCTCGAGCCCCAGTTTGGTCTGTACTCGTCCTTTATGGGAGTCATCATCTACTGGATCTTTGGCACCTCGAAAGATATATCCATCGGTCCCGTCGCTGTCCTTTCCACAGTCGTTGGCACTGTTGTGGCCGATTTGAAAGCAGCTGGCCTGTCGTACTCGGCAAACGTCATTGCCTCTGCTTTGTCCATCATCGCTGGCTGCATTGTGCTGGGTATGGGCCTGCTGCGGCTTGGTTGGCTTGTTGACCTGATATCCATCACGTCTCTATCGGCCTTCATGACGGGCTCCGCTATTACCATTGCTGTCAGCCAGCTGCCTGCTCTGCTCGGTCTGCACGGCTTTTCCAACAGAGATGCCCCATACAAAGTCGTCATCAATACTCTCAAGCACCTTCCTCACGCCAAGCTCGATGCTGTCCTCGGTCTCACCGCGCTGTTCCTACTCTACCTCATCCGATACACCCTGACGCGCGCCGCCGAGCGCTGGCCCAACAAGAAGCGCATCATCTTCTTTGCCAATACCATGCGGACCGTCTTTGCGATTCTGCTCTACACCATGATCTCGTGGCTCGTCAACCGAAGCCGCCGTGGGCACCCGGCGTTTAGCGTCCTTGGTGTCGTTCCCAAAGGCTTCCAAAACGTCGGCCCGCCTCTGTTGGATAGTGCGCTCATCTCTAAATTCGCCACGCACCTGCCTGCCACTGTCATTGTCATGCTTGTGGAACACATTGCCATTTCCAAGTCCTTTGGCCGTGTCAACAACTACACCATAGACCCTTCGCAAGAAATGGTCGCCATTGGCATGACCAACATTCTTGGACCCTTCCTTGGCGGCTATCCCTCGACTGGCTCATTCAGCCGCACTGCCGTCAACTCCAAGGCCGGTGTCCGCACCCCCGCTGCTGGCATCATCACCGGCCTCGTGGTCTTGATTGCCACGTACCTTCTCACAGCAGTCTTCTTTTACATCCCGAGTGCCTCACTTGCTGCCGTCATCATCCACGCCGTCGGCGATCTCATCACGCCTCCCAACACTGTCTACCAGTTTTGGCGCGTCTCGCCTCTCGAGGTCTTTGTCTTTTTCATCGGTGTCTTTGTTAGTGTCTTTGTTCACATTGAAGAAGGCTTGTACGCCACCGTCTGTCTTTCTGCGGCCATTCTCCTCTTCCGCATTCTCAAGGCACGGGGTCGATTCATGGGCAAGGTCCGTGTCCACTCCGTTTTGGGCGACCACGTCATCGGAGCCGACCACAAGCAGCTTGTTGGCGAGTATGGCACTTTTACCGAGACGCTCGAGCACTCGTCCCGCAACGTCTTTTTGCCTCTGGACCACGGCGACGGTTCCAACCCCGAGGTGGAGCTCGAGAACCCGTATCCCGGCGTCTTCATCTACCGCTTCTCGGAAGGCTTCAACTACCCGAATGCCAACCATTCTCTGGAATATCTCGTCGACTACATCAAGTCCCAAACGCAACGCACCAGCGCCGAGATGTTTGAGCGCAAGGGCGACCGGCCATGGAACAACCCCGGCCCCCGCAAGACTGCCAAGAGCCGCGAAACCCGCGAGGATCAGCTGCCGAACCTCAAGGCCATCATTCTCGACTTTAGCTCCGTCAACAATGTCGACATTACTTCGGTCCAGCGCCTCATCGACGTGCGCAACCAGCTCGACCAGTACACGGCCCCCGAAGTCGTCGACTGGCACATTGCCTGCATCAACAATCGCTGGACCAAGCGCGCCCTCATCGCCGGCGGCTTTGGCGTGCCCACGACGCCGTCGGACGGCCTGCCTCACCGCTGGCGCTCGATTTTCAGCGTAGCCGAGATTGGCGGCAAGAACTCTGCCGCTGCCGTCGCCGAGGAGAGCGCGCACGACCGCGATCTGGCCCTCGGACGCCGCCACAGCCTAGTGCTTGACGAGGAGATGGGCGAAGCAGGTGACTTGGGCATCTCCGACTCGGACGAGCCCGTCTCCGCGAGCGTTTTTGACGAGAAGCCGCCGAATCTGGTAGCCACCCTTTGTCAGCGGCGCAAGGGTGCCGTCGTGAGCGGATTGGATAGGCCACTCTTCCACATTGATCTGACGAGCGCCGTTCAGAGCGCCATTTCCAACGTCGAGGCTAGAGAAGAATTCCGCGCTGAATCTGTCAGGGCGCCTTAATTATGGTTATCTCATACATTTGTCATTTTTTAGCGAGCATATTGTTGATACATACATACATATTTATTACAAGTTGGGCTGTTAGTGCCCTGCGCAAGACGCCAACTTGCGCTCAACAGCATTTTTGCACAATACAACGAGCAACCGCGGCAAAAGCCTTGCCTGCGCATGCAATCACCACACCAGTCACCCTTTGCATATATGTGATTTTCCCTGATTTATCAAGGCGTCGCTGGAAGAGTTTCCCTGCCTCCGTAGTGTAGCTTACATTGCCGCGACGATGACCACCATTCGAGCTCTCCACGCAATTCGAGGTGTAAATACGTCTCTGGTGCTTCTTCTGGTGGAGCGAAGAGGACACGGATGAGGCGAGGAGGGATAATAATAAAAGGCCATTTCTCGACATGGGCGACTAGCAGCCAGAAACCATGCATCCACGGCGATGCGGCGTTCCAGATGGTGCAGAGCAACGCGACCAACACTGACGCATGTGCCGTTGGAGTTGCCCGAGGAGCTCGATGCCTTGCTCTACGTCGTCTGGCCGCCGGCGTTGGCAACAACGAGGACATCTTTGGCGCAGCGGCGGCCCGGTCAGCGCGTCTATCCGCATATCTGCCAGGCATCTTCATCCAATGCCAAGAGTGGTCATGGTCTTGACGAAGGCCGAGGGCAATGGGACAGTGTTGTGGCGTAAAAAGGTTATTGGAAGCATGGCAGGCACGAGGGGCATCGTAGGAGCTGCGGCATCTACGACAGAGGGCTCCCGACGCTGTGCAGCCGATTTATGTTAGAGCAAGCCGTTGCAGGACTCGGCCCGCGACAATTTATTATATTTATGTATCATAGCTTACTATATCATATCAAATTTCAGAATTATATATAATCAGCATCTATAATTGTAATTACTATGTAAAATTATTACATTTCATCTTAACAACATCGCCTTAATGTGTTGTAGGCTATAATGTGGAACTTTTGTCCTCCCCACTGTAGACGTATTAACGATATTTGAGATGGCAAACGTACAGCTTTGTCTTTTCCTTCCATGACATCGCATTCCATCTACTGATACCCCGCCCTTTTCATTCGTCAGCTTGTCAATCAGCTTGATTAATTAGCTTCAACTACGGAAGAGAGAAACAACCCCGGACGCCGTCGCCATGCCGGTGGGCATACAGCGGCTCAACGCGCGACGCACGCAGCCAAACGCCAATATCGTCTTCATCAAGCCTCTACCAGGCCCCGATTCCGCCATTGCCGAGAACTTCCTCGAGCGCATCGCCGCACAATGCCGTACGTCCCACCTATCCAGTTTTCCCCCTCGAACCGTCACTCACAGGCCGCGCAAAAGTCCCCATCATGAAGGAGCACCACCTCTCCGTCGTGACGCTCGAAGAGTACGAGCCCAACCGCGAGTTTGTCGGCCGCAACTTCAACGCCGGCGAGGTGATCCAGCTGGTCCTGCGGTCCGCGCGCCCGCCGCACCGCTGGCTGCCGTTCCGCTACGTGCAAATGGTCATGATGCACGAGCTCGCGCACTGCACGCAGATGAACCACGCGCGCGCCTTCTGGGCCGTCCGCAACGCCTACGCCGCCGCCATGACCCGCCTCTGGGCCCGCGACTACACCGGCGAGGGCCTCTGGGGCCGCGGCGCCGCGCTCGCCACCGGCGCCGCCTGGGAGCACAACACCCTAGCCGCAGACGAGCCCCTCCCGGAGCACCTCTGCGGCGGCACCTACCGCTCGCGCCGGAGAGCAGGCAGGAAGCGCAAACCAAAGGCCTCGTGGCGCGAGCAAAAGGAGAGGCGCATCGCGAAAAAGTTTGGCACCAATGGCATGCCGCTCGGGGCGGACGAGGAGGAGAAGCTGAGGCTCGAGGGCGGCAAGAAGAAGCCGGGGAGGCCGCGCGTGGCTGGCAGTGCGAGGGGCAGGGAACTGCGGGCGGCGGCGGCGCTGGCGCGGTTTGACAAGCAAGTCGTAGAGGTCAAGGAGGACGAGGAGGAGACGGCGAGCGGCAGCGAGTACGAGGAGGAGGAGGAGGGTGTGGATGCGGTGGATGTGGATGGGAAGTTGATGAAGGACAAGGACGGATGCGCGCTGGTAAAGGTGTGCGAGGACGAGGACGGGAATGACCCGGCGGCGAGGAACGAGCTCGATGAGCTGCGCCGCGTGTTTGCGCAGCCCCCGACACCGAACGGACGCGATGGAGGCAGTGCGGCCGAGGAGGAACATGTGCCGCGCATCAAGAACGAGCCGAATCTCAGCACCGGCCCGCGCTCGCTACACGTCCTCCCCGCCCGCGCTACATCCTCGTTCGCGGCCGAGCCGCCGGAGCTGTCCCTGCACGACATCCCGCACATCCGCGACGCGCCGCCGTCCAAGCTCGCCGCCGTACACCGGCGGGACTTGACGCTGGGCCCCGACGCCGCGGCACCGCCTGCAAAGGCACGACCAGCGATTACCATCCACCGTCTCCCAAAGACAGCAGCACAGTCGCCGCGCAAGGAGCAAGCAGCGCCGACAACCGGTCCTGCCGGGCCAGCGGCTACCACCGCCACGTGCCCGGTGTGCTTGCTGGACAATGACGCCGCGGCGGCGCGGTGCGCGGTGTGCGCGCACGTCCTGCGGCCGGACGCG